ATGTAATATATGAGAGCAAGAGGAAGAGTTTATTTAATCTTAAAAGTAAACAGCTGCAGGCTTCATCATTTGTTGGCTAAAATAGCTCTTCATTTATTTCTAAATGAAATTTCTATTTCTAGAGTAGTGGTTTAACTGCTTAACACATTATGCTTGCCTGTGCAGAATGAAGTGGGCTCTAGAATGGTTCCAGACTAATAAATATCCAACTTTTGTGTCTTGTTCCTAAGCAATGTGAAGCTGGGGCTGGTAGCAATAGCTTGTCTGAGCTCAGGACATAGTGATTACCCTCCTTGAGGAATTCACCATGGCCTGCCACACCAAGGTGGCCTCAGGAAGCACTGGAAATTTTTCCAAAGGACTGTGGGTTGTTGAAATGAGGGAACTGTCCCTGGAATGCATTGCTGCCTAATGAGCTTCTTTCATGGTCCCCCCAGGGTAATTGCCCACAGGGGAGGGGTCATGAGACACCATGGCCCAGCCACAGCATCCATTCCTGTGTGAGATCTATTCCCCAGCTGAATCAAATCCAACCGTAAACCTGCCACCACCTCTGCCTGTACTGAAGCAAGCAAGCCACATCTCGAATCCTTTGATTTTCTCTTGTTCCCATGACCCCTTACTTTATTTGTTCATCTCATGCCATGGCCTCTAGAGAAGTTAGCTTGCTGCTGGCCCTTACCTACAGCATAGGGAGATACCTCCTGTCCCCATCCTCAGCCCATCATCACTTGCTCAGCGTGGGCTCAGCTTCCCAGGAAGCTGAAAGACTTTGGAGCAATCCTGCTAAGTGGTGCTAAAACTGCCTATTGTGTTTCTCTTATCAGCAGGGTTCACAGATGGAGTACTGTTCATGGTGTGTGCTCTCCCCCAAGTTCCCCTCTCAGAAGAACTAGAAACAAAGAAAATTGAAATACCAGAGTTTAGTGTCTCACTGAGCAAATGTTGTGGACTTACTCAAGTAGAGGGAAGATGACCCAAGCCTGGTCTAAAACTCTTCTTCCTTCTATGCCTTTGGACCTAATGCTGGGCTTCACCACCCCCTAGAGTCCCATTTATACATCTGTCACGTACATGACAGATGCTCCAATTCCTGTAAGCCAGGCAGATGGTGCCTCCAGGATAGTAGGAATCCACCTTCCCCCACGCATTCCCCTCTAACCCATTACCTCAAGGTACAACCATCACCCCAGCACTGTCAGAAAAGTACAAGCACAAGGCATTCCCAGAGCCTGCCTGTGTACATATACGTGTATAAAACCCACAGACAGCTGTGGCAACCTTGTGGCGACCTGCATGTCACAAGCTTGTGTTTGTCAGCTGCAGGTAGAAATAGAACTTCATGCAGCTCCTATGCCTCCCTCACCTTGTCTGTCTACCAGCCTGGACCATAGGAGGAAAAACTGCATTTCAAGTGGATGTCTTTCTCCACCATCTCCTCAGGTTTTTCCAATTTCTCAAACATATCAAGATTTTGTTACCAGGGAGGCCGCAGGGGTGGCTTCTGGTGAGGACCAAAAGCTGCCACCACATCAGATAAAACCCCTGACAGCCAGCTCCAAAAGGGACAATGGCCAAAGCCAAGGCCCTCTATGATATCTGAGTTTAAATAAAAGCTCTAAACTATAACGGCAGGAAAAAAGGAACAAGAGCACATGAGAAAAAGCATATGTAAGTCGCCTTTACCAAGTCAGACTCTCCCAGCCTTCACCAAGGGCCAGGAACCAGCACAACAAAGTTCATCCAGCAAGGATTTCAACAGCCTGCTCCTCAAGCCAATTCCTTTGGTGGCTGAGACCTGCATGTCAATAGAGCACAACACAGAGAAGCTGCTATGCCAGTTTGTTGGCACTGGTGAAAAAATAGGAATAATTTTTTAGCTTGGTAGATGCAGCTAGTTTTGATGTATAAACAGTTAAGAAATTAAACATTAAAATTATTACCAATACTCCTACTGAACTCATTCCAGAGGAGAATCAAAGTCTAACTTCATTTAGGTCAAGGAAAGAATGGAAAGCAGATGGCTGGCTGGAGTAGAAGTTCAGTTGACTACTGAAAGGGCTCAAAGAGACACGTGGGTGGTTAAGCATCTCACCTGCAACATGCACTTCCCCAAGTGCACAACAGCCCTTTCAGAACCCCTGGATGGAGGTAAGGAGTGTCACTATTCCACTGCAATTTGATCACTGCACAGTTCACTTGTCCACCCACTGTGATCCCTTGGCCCTTCCTTTCATGTTAGTTAGTCCTCTCTCATTATGCCTAATTATTCCAGCTACGTGTTTTAATTGCTGTACTCAAGGAAGTACTTCTCTTCCGGTTGGCCAGCCCATTATAAGCAAGCTATGTAACAGGCCTGCAGACAAAAACATCTTGTTTTTCTTGTTTGACAGCAAGGCACAGATCCCAGCTATTTCATAGCCAAATGACACAGACTGCAGTCATTGCCTAAGGGGAGAACTTCTTCCTGAAACCCTTATTCCCAGAAGAAACTTTTCTATGTTGTTTTTCGTCTGCCATGTACATCAAGTCTACCAAACATTCAAGTCAGCTGGCCATCTACCCACTTCCCTCTTACAGGCATCTTTGCAGATCATTGAATGAAAGCAGCCAATTCATGCCAGCAGCGGACAACAGAGCTTAATGAAAGAGTGAATGCTGTGCTACTGCCTGGCACATAGCTATACTGGCCTCACACCTTCACACAAAAAACAAGCAAAAAAATGCACCCACTGAGCTCTCTATGAAGTATCATTACTTAATACTCACGTGGGAGGACATATGGCCCAAGGCTTTAGCAAGGATACTCATACTCACTCCATTTAGAACAAAATGTTTATTTGCTATACCTACGTTGTTAGACTGAAACACCTGTCCTTGCCTATTGAAAGACTCAAGCCAGTTCCCATCCTGAACTAGGGTTCTCTCCTCCCAGTAGGGGCGCTTGTGCTCTAGGAACCGAGGCTCCTTACATATAACCAGAACAAAGCATAGGCTTTGCTTTCCATCACCTGTAACAACAAGGACCAACTACAGTCAAATTCTGGTATAACACTGCGCTTGAGGACCATGTTTTGTTTCCTTTAAAGGGAAAGTTTACCTAACATGGAGATATTATTTCGTTGCATATTCCTCAAAGAGTCAAGCCTTAACATCTTTCAAATTAGGGCATGCAAGTTATTTTCATCACAGTATGCCTACATACCAGTTCTTGGGAGGGGAAGATTGCAGCACAGGAAGCTGAACTCGCTGCCCTTTTAAGAACAGCTTTGCACCCCTTGCTTCAGCAGAAGAGGTATTCCAGATATTCTGGTATTCCCAATCATTACTTGAATTTCCAGTCACTGTCACCTGGATTGTCCAAGGCTACTACAGAGTAGCATCTTACTAAAAAAGTAAATGAAGTGTTAAATTCAGCACAGCAGCAGCAATGCACCACTGACTGCACCTTTCCCCTGCAACAACCTGGTCTGGTCTTGCCTCAGCAGAAATATTGTATGTTGCAGCACACTTCAGTATTATTTCTTAAAGATGAAGGGGGATGCTAGGACCTCTTACTGAATATCTGGAACTTTCAGCAGGAATTTTTTTAAACCTTTCTTGCTCACAGTTCCTGCCCAAAAGTAAGAAGTAGGCCACACAGAAGCTGCTTTCAGAAGCAATGCTTGATTGCAGATGGTGTAGTGTCCATAGTGCATACTTGCTACAGCTTCATTTTATTCTCTCCTCATCAGTCTGTCCATGCCACTACTTGGTTTAGTGGCTTCCCATTTACCTTTAAACAGTTCAAACATGCAGCTGCACTTCTCTTAGTGAAATAGCCAGAGCTACATGGAAAATATTTCCCATGTTCTTCTCATTGTATAATCACAACTTAGAACTTATATCCAAGAAGAGCCTTGATGGCTCATCCTCAAGTAAAGGGTGCGGCCACTTCTTGGACTAGAAAAATCTTGTTTCAAATTGGGAACGCATACATTAAGCTGTTCAAGGCCCCCAGTCCTCTAGAGCCATCAAGAAATTAATGCATGCTTGTGAAGTGAGTGTAAGTCACAGGTGAGTTCCCTACCACAAAGACAAGAGGCTCACTCATCCCACATTGTCTGCATATGCAGCAGGAAGTCCAGCAGCACAGCTCACTAAGCTGTACCCACTGCTAGCCTACAGCCCTGCTCCCTTCTTTAGTGAGTTCTTCTAAAGGACCACATCCAAACCAGCAAGGAAGCCATTCTGATACAGTGGAAAAAAAACCACCATTCCCCTTAGCTACAGGGCCAAGAGTAGGTGAACAGCAGGTATAAAAAGGCTGGCAGGTCAGCATTCATCTAGGACAGCTCGATTCAGGATTGGAGGCCCACAGAGTCCACTTTACTGTCCAACACCATGTCAAATGTGTTCTAAGAGTGCAACAGGGCAATCAAATGAAAATTACAAGAGTATATAAATCTAAAATTCTCGACCTTTAAGACACTACAAGTTTTACTTCCTCGGTCACTTGTTCCAGATTATTGCCTAGGAACAAAGCAGCCCAACTGTGACTAAGCACTTTTTTACTAATAGAACCAGAAAGTAAACATATCAATGGCAAGGCAAATTGAAAAGGCAAAAAGACAGCAAGTCAAGTCCTACCTTGCACTTCCATGGTAGGACTGATATGCTCGGGAAAGACAAGTCTTAGCTTTGAAGTCTAAAATGCAGCTTGAAACCCTTTAAAGTATTTTAACTAAAAAGATGTAACAAAATAAAGAACTATTCCACCCAGTGACTACCCTCATTTCTCAGAGACTCTTTCTGTATTTGTAAACCAGATTATAACCTGGTGACTACCATCTGAGTAGGGTGGCAGCAGACTCCTCCTAAAGCAACTATCATGGATCCCAAGCCAACAGTAGATGAGGTTGCCTTTGTCTGTATATAGACAGTACTCCTTTAACACAGAAAAACCTGACACTCCCCTGACATCATTAAATTCTTAATATTTTTGTTAAACACACAGCATATCCAAAAGTGAAGAGTTTATACTTTATTGTACTCATATACATGGACCAAGAAGATAGTTTGCACCATTTAATCTAGCTAGCTTGTTTAGGTTTTTTTTTAAAGTAGAAAAGTTGCAGGCTGTAATTTAGCCAAAGCACTCATGCTTCAATGTCTTCATGGCTGGAGATTAGACTAGACTTTTAATGGTCTCTTCCAGCTTCTCTTTATTGGCCCCGGAGAACTCCTGCACCTGTAAAGAGAGATTGATTTTTTAGAACTTTTGCATTCAATGCTTCTTAACATTAGTTGCATAGCATCCAGTCACATACACACCTGTTCAACTCTGCTAAAAATCTGTAACTTCTCCCACCCTCAAAACAGGGAGTATTTTGTAGATGTTCATTATTTATTTCCCCACTCAATTCAACTCATGCAAAAGTTGAGACAAAAGACTATCGAAATTCACTTCCAGACTACCATTGATCCTGAATCAATACTGTGTAAAACTCAAAAAGAGTCTTGAAGAGACTCAAGAGGCAGCTCAAAGTCATCTTGAGTTGGTCAGAACCCTACCAATCACATTCTGGAAGGACTGTTCCAAATAATCTACCCCTGTGCCTGGCCTCCCATGAGAACTGTTCTTGCAACTTACAGGGCAGAAAGACAGAGGCAGCACTCATATGCTGTGTCAAAAACAGCTCTGTCCTCTTGTATCTACAGAAGTGCAAGGTACAGAGCAGACTGCACTGCAGGCCATGGGACTGCTTGCTTGATACAAAAAGCCACACACTGACTGTCACACTGTAATCACAATTCTTCCAATAACATCATGAAGTTGCAGAAATTCACCCTAACATACCTGTCAAAGTTTCATACTGACACCATAGTGAACTCAAAGTCACCCTAGATGTGACACTCAACTATCCACGATGCAATTCCATCTCCTTCAGCCATGAAACTTATACCCAAGCATTGTTTTCCTTTAGAAAAGCCTACCTTCAGCTTGCTTATCAAGCCAAAAACCTAAAGACAACACATTCAGCTCAGCAAGTTCAGGCAGAGAACTGCTCAAACTACCCTGCATAGGCAGCCCACTGTGCTGTCAGAGCACAATCTGCATCCCATCACATCCATCTCGTGGCAGAGCAGACACAAGAGGTTTGTTCAGTCCTCTAACAAGGACAGGACCTTCACTTCAAAGGTTATACAGCCTCTCTGTGAAAGAAACTAAACAGTTGTTTGTTGTTCAAAAACTCAGCCAGGTTAGAGACTTCCGTTTGGGTGGGATTCCATAGGCACCTATAGTCATGTCTCTGCTTGAACACAAGCTGCATCCAGATAACAAACACTGACCAAGTAAAAAGCAGGGTGCCAGGCAGATAGACCAGCAGTCTTAACACAGACATCTCACTCCACTATCTCTCATGAAACTATTTGTAAGATGGACCTGTAACTCAGTTCACTACCTGTGAACAACACAGTTTGCACCACCAGTTAACTGCTGGTTACATTTGCTGCAGTACTAAGATGAACTTGCTTGCTCTCAGGAGTGCCCTAATGCTAGTGGTACCATGGAGACATAATCAAGAGAAAGCAGACTAAATAGTCCAACACTCTCAATCTACTTTCAAGTCTGTAGTTTGCCTGCTCCAGTCCCAAAAAGTCAGAGCCTACCTTCTTTCCATTCTTGTAGAACTGGAACGTTGGCATGCACTTCACATCACAGTGTGAAGCAACATCCTGGAAGAAACAAAAAACCATCTTCAACTGGGCACATTCTTAAGGATGTTAAATCTAGAATCCACTCCAGCTGATTTCTTTTGAGGTGACAGGATAAAGCCATTATTGCTCAAGATAAAGCAAAAGCACTTCTGCTAGTCCATCTCTAGCAAAACCAGTGCCATGTTAACATCTCCCTGAAGTAAGCCTTAAAGATCCCTTTTTCAACATTTAATTAATGCAATAGTAAAAATCTTAACCTTACTCTGTGTTTGGAAAAAAACAAACAGACCTCTGCATCAAAACAGATGTATGCTTGTAAGACTGAAGAGCCCTATGGCAACTCTTGGGCTTCCATGTGATATTTTTCAAGTATCAATTTGACAACTCTGAAACTGCAACACAGCAGACATTTTATTGTACTTAATTCAAGACCTAATTTCATTTTTAATGAAAGAGGAAACAATGCCAAGACCAGTGGAGGGACCAGATAGATCAGTAGGTTATGAACTATTAGGTTTAAGGAAGACTGCATCAAAGTAGCTTAAGACCTTAGACTAATGCTCCCTCCTAAAGTAAAGGGTCAGTGTTTCCAAGTTATCTGACCATATCATGCCATAGGACTTCGAGTGTGCTGATAACCAAGGCATTTTGTTATGGTCAAGTGTTCCCTGAAAAAAAGAAAAAAAATCTTTCCAGCTAAATCCCTGTGTTTCAATTTTAAGTTGAAGTAAACTCTTGTTTTGCTTCAGTATGTGTGAAGACATTTTGAATTCTTGTCTGTCACTTGTGTGGAAGTCCTTAGCTGTTCTCCCTCAGCACCACCCCAGACCTTACCTGGGCATCATCCACATCAATTTCTATGAACACCACATCACCGTACTTCTCACACAAACTCTAGAAAGAAATAAAAAGAACTATGCAGTTACAGTGTTCCAAGAAAGCTGCCTGAAAAGATGCATTCATATAAACTGAAAGGCTGGTGCTGCTTAAATTGCTGTGAAACATGCTCTGTTATCTTAAAGCAGCTATTTTACTACCAGAGCAAAAATTTTCTGTTCTGCTGTCGATAGTTTCTGGAGAAATCTGTGGAAATGTGTTCTTCCGAGAAAGACTCAAATATCCTAAGACATAGGTGGAAGGCCTTCTCTTGCAGCCTTCAGCTGATCACCAAAAGGTGCTACAGCTTCTCAGGAGATAACATAGCCACCTAAACACAGCTGGAGGAGTTAATGTAAACTGTTTACAGAAGGATAAGCATTGTTTCCTCTCTGTATACCACCACTTGATAGAATGCAATTGAAATGCATGTAACATGACAAATGCAGGGCAAAAGCTAAACTCCATATTAGTTCCCAGCTATATCAATGGTCAGTCTATTTCACTTGGTAGTCTTAAAAATAGATACTTCTGCAACTTCTCACTTTTCCAGAAAATGCCAGCAACCACATAAGGCCAAAGGAACTTTACTCCATGTTATTGTGAAGCAACACAAACATTTATATACAATTTAATGCAGAAATAAACCCAGAAAAACTACTTACATGGAAAAAGGGTTTGATCATTTTGCATGGTCCACACCATGTGGCAGAGAAATCAACTACTATAAGCTTCTCACCAGCAGATTTCAGTTCTGCCTCAAATTCAACCTACAAAAAAAAAAATTGAATACATTAATGACTTTCCCCCTCTTTTTCTAAATTATATAAGACAAATCCCAATGCTGGGTTGCTCTCAGACCTAACACTCTAATCATTATGGCAAGTCTTTAACACTTAACTGGGTTATTTGTACCATCATGTAAGTGCTTCAGTATGAATTGTTTTCATTGGTGCTAGCAGCTGTCAGTGTCTTATGACTCATCAATTAGAAAACAACCTCAGTGCTCAGTCAAACACACTGAATTGTGGAAACAAGCTAGAAAGTCTCTAGCTTAATTCTGACCACTCTGTGTTATCCTCAAAATATGATCCTTAGAGTTTTTTATAATCCACATTCTCATTTCTGTCCTAGCAGTAAGACTTTTGTTTTCCTCTGGGACAGACTTTCCTTTGCAGAATTTGAAAAAGACAGACACAAACCTTTGTATGGGCCTCCAATCTGGAGACTTTTCCAATCAATGGCTAACATTAAAATGATTTTGTGTGTTTTACTGTAGACACACATGTTTTTGAAAGTAACCTCATAGGATAGTTATTTTGCCAAGTGAACCCACATTTGACATCATTAGCCAAAGCAATGCTACACATACAGACTACACAATTAAACACCCAATGCTTATTCAAGTCTTCGAGTCTGTGTGTTGCACTTAGTCACATGAATCATCACTGGACAATATTTCTTGGAACTAAACATCCTTACATGCCATTACTCATCTTTGCTTGTCAAAAAGTGAATGCTTTAATAGAACTGAAAGACATTAAAAGCAAAAAATACTTGCATTCTAGCAAAAGGCAGATATGTAAAGTGCTGATCACCAACTTCCTGACAATATCTTTGTCAAAGGAAGTATGAGCCACTTCAATAATTTTGAACTTTGTTGTCTTGGCAATCAAGCT